GCTAGATCAATGCTGTTCGCTAAGGATTTACATCGGGAATTGTGGGCTGAAGCTACGCTGACAGCTACTTATCTGACTAATAGGCAACCATCCACTAGGTCTGGTCAGAAATCACCATACGAATTATGGTTTGGTCGCAAGCCAGAATTAAATCATCTGCGAATCTTCGACACCTGGGCATATGAGCATATATCGGATAGTCAAAGGAAGAAGTGACAGAAAAAGACTAGAAAGTTATTAATGGTTGGATACGACAACAATAGTACGAACTATCGTTTACTTGACATGGAAACAAAGAAAATCACGGTTTCTCGGCATGTTGATTTTAACGAAGAGACAACTGAAAAACCAAAAAGGAACTGACCGATAATAGATATACCTATGGAGGGTGATAAAGAAGAAACAGAAATTATCGATGAAGAGGATATAATAGATGAAGAAATCGAAACACCCGAAGAATCACAGTCAACTAGACCTAAGTTGCGTAATCGTTCAAAAATCCAAAGACCTCAGCGCTATAAAGCTAATTGCATTGAATTGGATGAACCACAAAGCATTGAAGAAGCTTTGGCAGGACCAGAGGCCGAGAGATGGCAGATAGCCATTGATGATGAAATGGTTGCTATGGAAAAGAACGGCACTTGGAAAGCTGTGGACGAATTACCAAATGGCAGCGAAGCTGTGACATCGAAGATGGTCTTTACAAAGAAATTGAATAGTCAAGGACAAATAGAGCGATACAAGGCTCGGTTAGTTGCCAGAGGATTCACACAGCGTCCTGGAATGGATTTCAAAGAAACATTTGCGCCGGTAGTAAGGTATGAGTCCGTTCGGGTACTATTGGCATTAGCTGCAAAAGAAGATTGGAACATTAGTCATTTCGACATAAAAACGGCATTCTTGAATGGAGACCTTGATGAGGAAATTTATATGGAATTACCTGCTTCTGTAGTCAAGAATGGAAAACCGTTTGTACGGTTGACAAAATCAATCTATGGACTAAAACAATCATCAAGACAGTGGAACAAGAAATTTAACAAGTTCTTGAAGCAATTCAATTTTGTAGCTAGCGATGCTGATAAATGTGTCTACATTGGGAACATTGGAGATGCGCGTATTATATTAGCCTTATATGTTGATGACGGACTATTAATGTCAGCTGATCCATATGCTTTATCAAAAGTTATAAGTAAGCTAAAAATTGAGTTTGTTGTGACGGAGAATGACGGTCAATATTTTGTAGGCTTAGAAATCAAGCGTGATCGTGCAAGAAAGTGATTGTTTATTGGACAATCACATTATTTGAAACGCATAATTAAAAGATTCAATTTAACAGATGCTAAACACCTGACTACACTTGCAGAACCTCATGTTTATTTATCAACAGAAATGAACAAAAACGCACTTGAAAAGGACGTGCCATACCTAGCTATTGGTGCCCTGTTGTTTGCAGTATGTATTTCACGACCTCATACCATGTACGGTGGCCAATGTAAGTCGTTACTTAAACAAACCGGGTCCTGAGCATTGGTTAGCGGTCAAGAGAATTTTACGCTATTTAAAGGAAACGATAAATCATGGTATCCTTTATGATGGTTTATCAAATAATAACCAATTGATCGGATTTACTGATTCGGATTAAGCCGGTGATCCGGATACAAGGCAGTCGATTAGCGGCTATGTATTTACTCTCTGTTGTGGATCAGTTTCTTGGATGTCTCAACGACAGAAGATAGTGGCCATGTCCACAACTGACAAGGAAACCTACCCAAGTGTTACACTCCGATTTTTTTCAAATTTGGCACAAGTGTAGAACTACCAAAAATATTTGAACCGTATTTTTTCATTTGTGCCCATAAGCGGTTTTACGGGTAGTTAATACCCCTTCAATATTAAATCCTCTACCATTATAAGTATAACAAAAATGCATAAGAAACAAAATTTAATGCAAGATTATTGATGCAATATTAAAGAAAAATGTGTGCATGCTGTGTGGTGTGTGTGTTTGTGTGTGTTAATAACATATGTAATGAGCAACTAAAAAATCTTTTATATCTTAAGCCACTTCAATTAAATAAAGCACTTCAATTTTTTTTCAATCTTGTTGCTGATTTGTTTAAACCGTTTATTGTTTGAATAATTTAAAACAATGCACTTTAAAAATTTAATGCCATATTTAGAATCACTTACCCGAATAACTCTTATAATATATGGTCACTATACTGTATTTTTTCAACTCTTTTGCTGATTTGTTTCAACATTTTATTATTTAAACAAATAATTTTGCGAATCTTACTTTACATTCATAATTAGCGATCCAAAAAACTTTTACATCTTGCATTAAATTTTGTATCTTATGCATTTTTGTTGTACTTATAATTGTAACGGTAGGACCGTTACTACGGCCATCTTGCTTGCCGCACGCATACGTTCTCCCTTTCGACACTGCCGGGTTGCACCGGCTCCTACCTCTACTTGGGGCCAAGATACCTGTACTTGGCTCTGTCGGGTTGAACCGACTTCCGTTGCTCAGGCAGTGCTCGACGTGACACTCGAGCCTGCCGGCAATACCTAGCCACTTAACCTGACGGTAGCGTATAAGTGCATGGACAGACCGCGCTGTAAATATTAGTCGCATGATAGAGATAAGCCCGCTAGTTCTAAGTCTCGTAGTAATAGACCTGCTAGTCGTAAGCCTGTTAGTACTAAGTCCGCTAGTTATAACCGTATCCTAGTCTTAAGGCCTGTTCGTACTAAGTCCGCTAGTTGTAACCGCATGCTAGTAATAAGACCTGTCTAGTAATAAGTCCGCTAGTTATAAGACCTGCTAGTCGTAAGACCTGTCTAGTACTAAGTCCGTTAGTTGTAAGACCTGTTAGTAATAAGTTCTCTGGTTCTAATCGCGCCGTCCGCAAATAAAACCGGAACGATTGCACGCCGCACTTGTCTTGCGCTTCTCACCGCTTTGCGACCATCGCTTTGCGCCTGCGCGTCATGCAGATCCTGCTACCAGCGACCGCCGTCACCACACGCTATCGCCAGACCCTGCACGCTGTATCTATCTTTCTCTAACTGAATAAACTATCTCTTTCTACCTATACTGTGTCTCGTAAGCTTGAGTCTCCCCTCCTCTCGAACCCGGACACCGACGAGCCGATCCGAGCGTCGAGCGAGGTGACC